CGTTTCTGTCAGTTGAAACATTGGTTTTACTTATATATGCGCATACATATCCCATTAAATTATGTAGGTAACATCGACTGTAGCTCACGTACAGCCCTATGTCCACGGCCCTGAGCCGCCTTGCCATGGCTTTGAGGATATATAGGGATTTATAGGGATATATTGTTTAGGGTTCAGGTATTAAGTCTCGCTGAGTGAGAACATCCAAAGCCTGCTGTGGGAGCCTGCGGCCAACATCGGGGAATCCAGGGTAAAGTCTGTGCCTGAAATGGCTTCATATTGTTAGCTGTCCGTTTGCTTAGGGGGGCTTCAATAAATGAAGCTCTGTAACAAATGGGTTTCCGAACAATAGAAATAGCATTACTAGTAGTAATAACAAAAAGAATAATAGTAAAATCGATAGCAATAATACTAGTGATATTAATCATAATAAGAATATTACTAATCGCAAGAACCACTCAGTGCAAGCCCATCTCACCTCGAGTCTCTTCATTCGCTTCTTCCATCCAATCCGCAGAAGAACCCTTGAGCTACAAATTCCGAAGCCAGGATCACCCCCAAGCCCAAGATTGCGCATGCTGTCACCTGCCAGGACCAGCAAAAGATAAAATCCTGCCTCTCGCCTGAGGATCAGGCCAAGGCACGTGGCTTGGGGGCTTAATGATAGTAGTAACCCAATAGTTTAGGGTTTAGGGTTTAGGGTAACCCAATAGTAGCAATAGTAACCAAATCATAATAACAGTAGTAACCCAATAATAGCAATAGCAACCAGATCATAGTAACAATAACCAATAGTAGTAACCCAATAATAGCAGTAGTAACCAAATCATAGTAACAGTAACCCAATAATAACGATAATAACACAACAGTAGCTCCTTGGTAGGGTTTCGTGCTCTTGTTCATGACCATGACATTGGTTGCAATCATGACAGCTGCTACCCCTGCTTTCCCTGGTGCGAGCAATGGTAGGTTGAAGCGCTCAAGTGCCTCGCCCGCGAGAACCTCCTTCGAGCGGCGGCCAACGGGGAGCTCGAGCGGGCGCTGAAAGAAATCAAGGAGCACCTAGCTCACCTCTGTTGATCAATACTTGCTGGTTGTAGGGTGAGGGGTGTTTCCTTTTTGGGTTTGGGACGGGGTTTGGGGTGGGACGGGCTCGGCACCCGCCAGAACACGGTGGGATATTCGAGCGCCAGACCAGAGCGAATCTACGCTTCTAAGCGAAAAGACCATATATGTTGCCTTCGGTTCTGGTGTACATGTTGCTGGTCTTTGTTCGTAGTGACCCTTTGTCTATTGAATCAACCTATCTTGGTCTGTATGTGGTGATGGTGATGTGTCTGTATCTTGGTCTCAAAATCTCGGTATAAGCATGGGGTATGTGGAAATAAAGGGCAGTGGACACTTGGTGCCCCAGCAGCATTGTTAGTACACCAACTGGCTTTTCAAAAGTCGTTTCTCAAATTTGCGCATCATTTATATGGGGTCCCCAAGCAAAAGGAGGCTCGCATTTCGCTCGTACAAGAAACACCCCCGACGCGCTTCGCCTCAGAATTGCATCAGCCGCGGCGAGGAAAAGCACTCCACACACGTCCCTCCGCCACCGCCAGCGTGAGGCCGTACTTTCAGATTCGCTTCTTTTCAGGCTTGCGGATCAAGCCTGCTTTCTTTCGCACATGTCAACTTACAATAGGATGGCAGAGTCTGGTTGATGTCAGGATTTGGGGAATCAGCTTAAGGCTTGATGTTGAGTTCCCAACGAGTACTTCAAGCGCTGTCACATTGCAACTGGCGGGTGCATGTTCTTGTTAGGCTTCATCGCAACATGCGTAATGCCACGCCTTCTCAACTGGCCTCGTGCACTGGTAACTTCCCTCAACGCCTGAAGTCTATATATCATAATATAATATAAGATATTGTAAGATATCATAATAGACCATAATATATTATGGTACATTATGGTAGCCACGAACCATTCACTCTGTTTGGACCCTTTGGTCTACAGTATCTTTGGGGTAGTCCGCTGTCATCGTAACAAGGCCTAAAAGGAACTACATCGGAGCCTTTGGGTAGGTCCCTACAGCATCAGCATCAGGCACAGATATCCAGCGGCGACCAGGCGAGTGAGGCCAACAAAGCAAGACTCGTGTTTGGGTTTCTGAACAAAGGGGCTTTTAAAAATCCTTGCAGGAGCTACAGACACATGGTAGTTTTCCTAAATAGGGGGACCCCAATATAGACCCCCAGGTGCCATAGTCCTTATTATAGGGACCCCCAAAAGGGTAGCTAATTTTGGGAAACCCCCGCATGTACATATGCATGAATTCCTGTGGAGAGAGATGAGTGCAGGATTAGGACTTGGGAGTTTTCCAAATGGGGGTACTTGTAGGAACCGCAGGGATACGTGGGAAATGCAAGGAGATCACTGGGGTCCGTATTAGGGAGCGCATAAGGAATTCCAGAAAAAGGAAAACACTTCTGTAGGATACTGTGTAGGACTCGGAAGTGTGAGGTTCTTGACTATCTAGGTTTAGTTTGCATTTATTTCAGTCAATATCTTTCGGCCTGGGATTTCCTGGCACCAAATGGGTTTCGGACCGTCTCGGATATATACTCAGTATGGTGACCTAAACCCTAAGCCCTGTATACTATATACCCTAAGCCCTACATACCCTAAGCCCTATATACCCACATTATGGGCTTGAGTCTGAGGGTTGATGCGATTTCCTGCTTAAAATATCCAAGCCCCAAAACGCCCAAAGATGTCAGCTAAACTGGGTTGCTGTTAAGGAACTTGATTTATGTTACTACATTGGGGAAACATCATGAATTACGACATATATATATATACCCATTCTGGCAACTTATTCTAAGTTCCTTAACAGCAACTGTGTACATACTGGCCATGGGGTTGGGAGAGGGACTTCTGGGTCAACCTCGTCTTTTTGTCTCTGTAGGGACATGTGATTCCTTATATGAGCTATAGTCTAAATTCCTTCAAGGGGGTTATAAAGCGGAGTATATAGGGGAGTATTATAATTAGGGCTTATTAAGGGGGAAGCCCCTATAATCCCCTAAATAAGCCCAGTTTCCATGTCATTTTCAATTTTCTTTTCCATGTGATTCTCCATTATGGGGGGATAGTACCCCTCAACCCTAATTAAATGACACTGTAAGTCCGCTGCTTGCGCTGCGGAGGGGAAGTCGGTACGTCTCTGATGTGTCCGCAATAAATACCACTATAACCTTGTGATCATATAACCCCAAGATGGACTTTTGGACTGAGCGAACCCTACGCCGCAACCCTCCCTCTGATCCAAAGCGCCTCACGCAACACTATTGGTACTCAGAGGGCTTCAGGTACCCGAACCCCTATAATCAGGACCATGAAAATACGAGGGTTCTAATTTTAGGGGTTGGCGTGACTCCCTTCTCATCCCTAATTCTGTTCTCCCCCCTGTATTTTGAACTTAGGGATTTGGAATTTAGGGTTTAGGTTTAAGAGCTGCTGCCCTCAAGGCCGCATTCCGATTCAGTGAGCAGCTTCTGCTGCGTTGAGAAAATATCTCTACACGGCTTGGGGGCTCAGGTCTGAGGGTTTAGGAAGCCTGATGTTGTCGGGTGAAAGTTGTCGGCTAGAAGAGGGGACATAGAATCCTGAGCTAGACATGTATTCCCCTTATACGTCTTAGATAGTTGATGGACAAGATACACTAAATCGTTATTGTAATTATTTGGTTCCACCTTGGTTTGGCACCCAAGCTTCGCCCGTGTATACAGATCATTCAACATTGAGAGCATCTGCCCACCGGAGCATCCATGCCCGAACCCATATGAATAAGGGTATTTTGGTGACCCCAACCCCCAAAATGAGGACCCTATAACCATCATATGATAGTCGTAGGGTCCTAATTTTGGGGGCTGGGGTCACCAAAATCCCTTTATTACATCTCTGTTTGGAAAACACGCTCCCCCCACCTCCCCATCATCAAATACTCCCTCTAGCTCTCGCTTGAACATGGTACAATAGTGGATGGGTATTCATTGTTACAGCGCAGGAGGGGAAAAACTCTCTGGAGCGAGGTGCATGCGTCATGCTAGATACCCACATTTACGTTTCTTCTTGTCATGACCGATGGATGAAGCCTCGTTCGTGGAAGTTTAGCAAAGTCATGTTTCCATACCTTGAAAAGATTCAAAAGAAGATCCCTGGGGTCCCTTAGGGTATTGGCTTTGAGCCGAGATGTGTTCCTGTCGAGGGCGCGGGAGGGCTGGCGAATGTGCATGCAGGGAAGGGATGCGCCGGCCAAGTCCAACTTGATTCCACAAGGTTTAGTTTGCAGGTTTGGGATTTTGGTTCCATACCTGTTCAAAAACTGCTTGTATCAACCTTCTAATATCGTACAACCTCGTATGATATGTCCCCCGCCTTCCTACTCCTAAAGCTGGCTGCTGGATCCAGAGCCCCTGGTTCAGGTTGCTGCAAGAGCTGCGAGTATTGCTTCCAAGAAGACTGTAGGGACCACTGCTGGGGCCCAGGAAGGCAGCTCTTATGATTCAAGGTTTAGGGTTTAAGGCTTAAGGGGTTTAGCATAATCCCAACATAAACCTGTATAATCCCTATCTAACCCCTACATGACCCCATATTTAGGGTTTAGGGGTTTAGGGTTTAGGTTTAGGGTTTAGGGATCCCATAGAACCAGATATCAGCATAAGCAGGGGTTCCTCATCCACCGGAGTTTCCCCAACAGCAGCCCCTACAATCTCTCTGGAAAAGACCCGAACGACCACTGGCCCAGATATGGGAGTTTGACAAACAGGGGTCCGCCTTGCACCGCGAACCCATAAACCCTGAAACCCCAACACCTGACTACTCGGCCATAAGCCCAAAACACCCAAACCAGTTGGCCTTAACCAAGCTCACAAGAACTTAATCCCGAAATCGAAATTCTTGTAAATCCCTACATAGAATCAAAAAGAGACCCGTACGTTTTGGAAACTCCCATATGGGCGGCTGAGCTTCTGCACACGACAGAAAAAGAAGTGACGTGCCAGGATTGTATATGGGGTTTAGGGTTTAGTCATTTTTCGATGAGTGTATATAGTATATATGTATATATATGATGTCCACTTGGGGAACTGCAGCTAAGGCCATAGGGTTTAGGTTTTAGAGGGTTTACCATGCCAAGCTCACATAATCCCCCTTTGAGGCTTTACAGGGAGAATAAGGGGACATGTAGGGATGGATGGGGTTCAGGGTTTATCCCGGGCTTTCCGCTCTCCCAGTTATCAGGAAAGCCCGAAAGAGCCTCTGCAGAGATTGTTGTCCTTTAAAGGGGCCTCAGGCTCTCCAGGGGCCTCCAGGATTCAGGGGCAAGGGGCAGGGGTCCAGGGCCTCCAGTACCAGGAACCTCAGAGCCCTTCAGAAGGGTTTTCAGACCGCCTATCTGTGTTCCGCCCTTGGTAGAGGGAGGGTAGCCACTAGGGCTTATGGCTGAGTTGCTGTTTAGAGCTGCGGATTGCTGATTCAGGGGCAGGGTCTAGGATTGCCCAGGGTTGAGAATTTGTTGTAGACCCTAAGCCCTAAACCCTGGATGTTTGTTTAGTGTTCATAGTTTAGGATCATAGGTTCTTGTTAAAGGCGACGGTCCTGCTTGAATTCCATATTCTGATGGCTTCTCCACGGTGCAAGATATGATATAGGGACAATATACTATAGTAGTTTCCATTTTGATTTCCATTATATAACCCCTATATAACCCCAATGGGTGCCTATATCCCCTAAATACTACACGTAGCATCCCGCTTAATAGCCCCTATGATACTCCCCTATATAATTCCCTATATAACCCCCTTTAAGGAGGTTAGACCCTAAACCCTAAACCCTAAACCTTATATAACCCCATATAGTCCCTATGTAATCCCCCATATGACCCCCTTTAAGGAGTTTAGACTATAGCTCATATAGGGACGCCGACTTGAGCAATGCAGACAGCCAAAAAGATTGAGCGGATTCCTGCCACGACTGAAACCTGCAATCCCCAGCTACTTAGGGTTCAGGGTTTAGGGGTTTAGGCTTTAGGGGTTTCGACCGTTTTGCGTAGTTTGGGCGGGTTGTTTGAGGGCTGATGGAAGGCAGGGTCTGCCATAGTAGCATCAGAAGGCCTTGCAACCCAGAGAATGAGGCCCGGATAGGCTTATTTGAAGTCGGCTTTCTTGATTCACTTTGGGGGGGAGGGGGCGGTTCAAAAGCGGTAAGTAACCCAACGACCTTCAATACTCCCCAATCCCCCCAACAGAGGCTCCCTGTAGGGATCCCGAAATACCTTCCTTCCTTTAAATCACATCCCTGAAAGACCTTGTGGGCTGCAACCTTTAGCTTGAAAACCCCGAGACCAGGAGGGCAGCACGAAGCTCGAGTCCCAGAAACTCGGCGAGCAAGGCCTCAGTACAGCTGGAAACTACGATGTTCACATGAGCCATAGTCTAAACTCCTTAAAGGGGGTTATATGTGGGGTTATGTAGGGGAGGATTCGGGACACTAGGAGTTTAGACTATAGCTCACGTGCCAGGTCTTCAGGCTATTTCCGCATAGTTGCCGCAACGTTGGATGAC